GTGTTCGGGAAGAGAGAGCAAGACAAGGCAAGCAGAAAATAAAACAGCATCAAGCCACTTGTAACAAAAAGTGCGTAAGTCTGTACTATAGTGAAGGTGGAGATCTTGGACCTAAGTTCTGAGCCCATGAGAAGCCAGGGAGAAGGAGTAGATGCTGACAGCAAATAAAAGGCCACCAGACCCATGCTCACTGCGGAACTTCAGTAAATGTGAACTGGCTGGTGTTGACTTCGGTAGACAGAGTTCACTGTGAGAGGAAATTGTGCTGCTGGTGAGTACGAGAGCCCATCTCTGCACCAGAAACAGCGGCACCTGCGAGGCGGTCACAGCCACTGCAGCAGGAAAGGGTTCTTCTGTGAGGCTGGCCTGGCTCGAGGAAAAGTAATGATACAGTCACCGCAAGAGGAGAAGAACAAAGCCTGCTGGGCGCTGGAAAACCTTCCCCTCCCGGTCCTGGAGCCCCAGTTGAGAAAGCAGAGCTCTCCCAGGCCCACGCAGGAAGGAGTGCCAGGGCCTGGCTTTCCCTGCTACAGAAAACCCTTTGTCAGATGTGGCTGGGAAGCTGAGAAATGCTATTTTCGGATTTCGCTGCAAGGCTAGGTGATGTGCAGACAGCCTCATTCTGGGAGGGGAGGAGAGCAGAGCAGGGCAGCACCTCTCGGTAGGTCTCAGCATGAGAGGCAGGGGACCCTCTGAAGTTCCTCTCACATGGCAAGGACAGGCCTTGCAGAGGGTAAAGGTGTTTTCTTGTTCTTCACTGGTGGTTACCTGATAAAGCCAAATGAGCCTTAGTGGAAAAAGCACTGAACCTGCAAGTGTGAGGAGTGTTGAGTCCACCTGTACCGTGTCCTGCTGTGGTTCTGTGGCCCCATGTCTGTGGGGCGGCCTAAGGATTTGTCTAGAAAATGAATATTTTATGGACTTTTGAAATTTTTATCTTAAATGAAGAAAAAATATTTGCTGTTTAACCATATATTGATTAAAAAAATTTCATACACCTATAAATTGTCCCAGCCCAGAATGTCAGTGGCAGCATATATAGTATGCACTTAATAGATATTTGAGGAAGATAAAAAATACCAAGAATGTGGGTATATTCTGAATGTGGGCATCCAGAACATAGCGTCCCTTTCATTGCTTCCCTTCCTCCTTAAGAGAATTAAAAGATATTGGAACCACCACACTGCTTTTTCTTGTGGGTGACATCAACCACAACAGCAAGGTATTGCAAAGATGTGAAGCAAACCGTTTCCTCTGAGCCCTGGGTATGGTTTTAGCCCCTAGGGGCCTAATCAAGTTCTTGAGGCATTTCCTAAGAGCTCACAGAAAAATCCAATGTCCTGGTACTGCCCACTGGACACACAATCATGTTAACAGGCAGCTCAGGGGAGCCTCCTGCAGAGTAGGTGAGCGCAGGGTGCAGGACCCTTTGGGCTGAGGACCCACTGGGCAATGGGTGGAGAACCCGCTGGGGAATGGGACCCACTGGGCAATGGGTGGAGGACCC